CTTCATTTGGGACATCTCCCCGAACGAAAGGAGATACAGCCTACATATCCCAGAACACCAACTAGGGTGTGTTTCATTTACGTCCGTCAAGAGTGTAAGATGATTATCTCTTAATTCGGTTTATTAGGTTGACCCAAATAACCCCCCTTGGCCTGCTTACCGTGGATATCATGAATACTCATTTGCTCACGTACGTTTCTTTTATGTAATTCGAAATAAATCTAAACAGGATGGTTTCAGGCCACCATGGGCGTTCGTCTTCCGACTATTTTGGGAAAAGCGATAGATGATACTGTGCAAACTCTAAACCAACTCTCTGACGAACTGGAGATTATTGACTTGGTAGAATGCATACGACGCATGGGGCATCTCATGATTGACCTCAGGTCAGTGACTTGTGGTGGCGTCATCTCTCATTATTGTTGATCTGTTCGCTATGAAGCCAAAACCGTAAACTTCGGCCAATCATTGATGATGGAGAAGGCGATGTTGCCCTTTGGAATAAGGAGATAGCTAAATACTTTCAAGGTAAAGCCATTTCAGTTTGTCTTCGTAGGCATACATGCTCATGGGATCCCAAGGGAAGGACTTCATGAACGCCCCGTGGCTTTTTGCAGAATCCTACAAGTATCGCCGCCTTCATGAATGTTTCAGTGTCTCGAAGTACTGGAAGGTTGGTCTTATTCCTGTAGTTTTCAGATGAATGTTAAAGTTGGTTATAGGATTATGATGTTTTTAGTCGCCAAAAATGCGACACATTCTCCCGTTCTGCAGATGCCGTATTTGAGCTGTCTTCGCGCTTCGCAGTGCCTATTACGTACGATCCTGGACTGTCTGGTGAGAAGAGGGTGGAAAAACAACGCTTCCTCTTTCTGGAGTTGGCGCAAGGTAACAAACGCATGCTTTTCGACAAGAGAACCAGTTTCATGATACCCAAACAGTGTGCCTATGGGGAAATTCCACGGACCTATCCCTTCTAATTAACATGACTGAGGATCAGATCAAAAAAATTCAAAGTACGGGTGGTGAGAATTTGGCGGCGACCGAGAAGAAGTAAGAAAAATTATATGTAATCTTGTTCCATAGCTCTGATAGTTCACAGTATCTTGGGGAATCAACTAAACCAACTCTGGGATACAGTTAAAGAGGTAAAGGGAGGCAGGATCGATTTTGTCCTAGATAACGCAGGGTTTGAATTGTATTGCGATTGTGTATATGGTATGTTAGCCTACTCAGGTGTCAGCAGGGGTTCGTGAAGCGCTTATCTGCGAACCGGGGCCACCCTAGCCGATTATCTCATCCAGGCCGGCCTTGCTACCCAAATTCGCTTCCATGGCAAGCGTATTGCATGGTTCGTATCGGATGTGACGGGAAAGGATTGGCAGTGGTTGTTAAATAGTATGGTGTACGGACAATTGTTTCCGAATGCAAGTGAGGCTGAGATGGAAAGTTTGAGGCAGCTCGGAAAAAGGTGGAAGGTGATTTATTTTATGCTCTTTAAACACCCGGTTGTCGGCTAATACAACTTCCTAAATTAGAAATATGAACGCGAAGGAAAGTGGATATACGAACAGCATCCATTTTGGTGTACTGGGTATACTTATGTAAGACTCACGGAAATTATTTCAACAATATTCATATTTTTATGTAACTTCATATCATACAGTGGGATATACACACCGAGGCTCCGGACCTCTTCCTCCACTTGTCAAAATCGGATCTTATCGTATTCAAGGGTGATTTGAACCATCGCAAGTTGACTTATGACTGTGCTGCACCTGCCAATACTCCATTCGACGTCGCCATTGGTCCCTTGGCGACTTTCCCTGGTGCACCCAGAGTCTGCTCATTAAGGACCATCAAGGTATATCTCGCGTGTAATTTTTACTGTTCGGGAGACCTTATTTCTTTTTCTTGTCGCAGTCCGACGGTGTTGTTGGATTACCATCGTTGGAAATTGCCAAACAGCTCGACAAGGATGAACCTGGGTGGAAGATTAGTGGTAAATATGTAAGCAGCCATCTTGCTGAACTGCACCATATCATATGTCCTATAACCTGACGCTGATAGGCTGTTGTGCTTCTCTCCGAGGGGCGTCCTGGAGAAAAGGTCCGTTTTGCTTGAGAATTAGATTCAAATTCGAACATTGCGTGGATAATTATCACGTTTCCCCATTTGTATTCTGTTCAAGCGAATTTCTGTATCCATCCTCCTATCCCTAATGTGTTAATAGCTACATTGATCTACAACGGTCCTTCCACACGGTGGAGGGGTGATATACACTGCGAAATAAAGAATGACTTGGGATCCCACCACTCCATAAATACAAGCCTCGGTTTCAGACATATCCTAGATGGCAAGAATATTCAGACGTCCAAGGAATCCCTTCGAGGGTTCGTCGCTGCTACGAATACACTCTCCACTTGCATTTCTCGGTGATCTGCATTATCGGGGTCCTCCACACCTTCGTCCTCGGTCTTATTCACAGAACGAAGATTCAAAACGAGACGAGGCCCCTTCAGGATACCCATCAGTACATGACTAAACAGAAGGGATCGCCGAGCTCGTCATGATATTACGCACCACAATACTGAATATCGCAGGAGTCCATCTGAGTATAAAAAAAAAGAGGGACTATTCAGGTTGAACTTCGAGGAAATGCCGGTTTTAAGTACACACCCAGAAACTGCAGCTGCCAACAAGTAAACTGTTGACACGTTGGCTATGAGCACTTTGAAAAATAACGACGCTAAGATGGCGAGTGTGAGCCATCGCTGGTACGTGCAACGAGAATCAACTATAGCCCCACCAAAAATACTGGCGGTTGGATCAAGATGCATTTGTTAGTTACCAGACTAGCGTGAATAATGACTTGATAAGTGCCTACATTGCAAAATATATAGTTCCGTCTCGATAGAATGTCTTGAACACCAACGTACGGCCTTCGAAGACTCCCATTTCAGTATTCCGCGCGCCGCGAACACTTTGAAATAATTTAATCAATGTTAAGAGGAACAGGTAGCCTAATTAAATATCGCATGATGTTGTCAGTAACACAGTATTCTGACAATGCTGTGAGATGTATATTACTCTCGAATATTAACAGTGGAATCCTATCCTCAAGCTAAGCTTAGTGGATAGACTCGTGCGTTTATAGAGGTGAGCGCACCAAAATAATTGTGCAAAGAAGTTGGACGACCTATCGAGGGAATAACATCCTGGAAACAGTTGACTTGTTGTCGAATCGGTACCTTGATAGCCTTTGTGTCGTTGGCCTTTTAGGAATAGTGCCAAGAGGAGAACTGATATCTGAAAACATGGCAATCGTTAATAACTGTCAGGCGGAAGCAATATGGATGTACGAACGCCACCTAGTACTGGTGAAGTACGGGTCAAGTTAGAAAGAGTAATTGTGGTTGATAAAGGTGTCCCAACTTATTGTAATGGCTGCCGTGAGTATCAAGACTGTTAATACAGCGGGAAAGTTAGTTTCTAGACGATGAAGACCGCTAGCGGTTACCCAGATAGCAAGATTACTCACCTGCTCTGTTGCTCCGATACAGGGCGTAGATTCTAACCAGTAGAACAAGCTCTACACCCAGTGCGCTCAAGGCCAAAAGACTGTCATGGTCCGTTAGCAGGGCTCTGGCATGCATACGTTCCAGAGAGAAGACACTTCACCCGTATCGGATCATGATAAGAAAATGACATCTGAACATGAAAGCACATTAGATAACGTCATCGAAGACTGAGGATTTTATTCACAACTAGCTAAAGTAAGTCGTTGTGGGGATCCCGGAGAAATTTCCGTAGTACTCACTTCATTTGAGTGAGGCCCACCCGTCATTTCTACCAGACAGTATATCCGAATTCATACATGATCAGCATAATTAGAAGGCAATATTAGGTTGTTATTACCCAGTGTGTTGACACTTGACTCGCTCGTCAAATTCTGCTAAACAAGAAAAACCAGACAAATGCTCACATCATCCCTATCAAGCCACAGTATCGGCACAACAAATAAAAACATTTTGGGAGAGTCCAATTCGCTCTGATGACCACGACGCCAATCAGATCCGCAAATATGCCTTAAAAGACTTATGAGATAAAGACGAACTTCCAGATCACCTCCACCTTTGTTGTGACATACAAAAAAGGATTAATATAAACGACCGGAAGCATTCAGGAACAACATACCTCTAAATTGAATGAAATAAGGATGTCATATGCTAGAGCCGTCATGGCAGCCACTATTACAATTTCTTAAAAACACTCTCCCTATATGATAAGCATAACTAACAACTGCTGTAAATTGCTGCATCTGCCTCCACCAAGAGAGCGCTATAAAGTGCAGGGGATAATGATTTCAACATAGGAGGAAGCCAGCCTGTGAATCAATGCATTACTCAGGCTCATTGCTTATATGTATGTATGTAGCGGTTCCAGGGGTTGCGAATGGCGGTATGCTGTGAAATCTTTTTGATAAGGTGAAGCAGGTGTAGATCAATCAATTCATTTTGGAAGTGGAAGATCATTCTTGACAGCTTCACCTGCTCCAAGCCCAAGCCAGGCACACCGCAAGTACCTCGGTACTTGGAGTGATGCATAAACATGAAGTCGCGTGAGCACTACTACAAGTATACGTATACGTTATGAGGTCTGAAGAGTCCGATGGTAGATAGATATCCCTGGAAGGTCTGCTACTGTTGAACGAAGAATCATATGACGAGCTCAACATCTTGCAACAAAGATATGACTATGGAGCTCAGCAGATGTGGCTGTGGAACGATGATCTTCTGCGACAGTCAATGTCATGGGACATCTCATCTGAAATACCATCCACTAGCACAGCAAGGTAAATTTATTTTAGCGAAGAAACAGCGGTATTATCTTGGTAGGCACATGGGTCGTAATTAACTGTTCGCACCCTTCGGGACCTTTTTGTCAGGAACGGAGAGCTCATTAGGTATAAATGAGTAACCTCTATGAAGTTGATAACGTCTCAGTTAGTATAGAGGTTAGTATTCGCGCCTGTCATCGATGGTACGCGCGAGACCGGGGTTCGATTCCCCGACTGAGAGTTCTTTTGTCACCTGCCGTTAGGCAGCTGATGTAATCTAATCTACAATGAACGGACGGGGAACGCATATTTTCGTTGGATTTCAGCCATGCTGGATATTGTAAAAAACTGGCAATTGTTTATATTTTATGTTTAAGTACGACATCGTATTCAGGTTTGACTTAGACATGCCACATTCTTGGACACTATGCAGTTAAATGTTGATTGTTATTTTTATCTCTCCACTGCTAGACTCGAAATTGCATTCATCTTGCCCAGTGATCTGTTATATCACTGTCTTCACATTGCTGCTGATCGTATTGGCTCTGCTACGACCTCTCGAAAAACGTTCTCGATACGTTTTTCGCGTCGAAGCTAGTGAGACGGCACCGACGATCGAACTACATCGCATGTATTTGGTGCCAATTGTGCGTATCCAATGGCTTGTGTGTCAACTGCGTAGGAATTCAGTCATGATTCATGCAAGTCCTGGTGAGGACCGTGAGGTCAATACCGTAAAACAGGTTTTGATTCACACCTCAAAGTATTCAATACACTTCATAACACGGCGAATATGCGTCGGAGCACCGGCTAGCGCGAAAAGACTGCGCTGCGCATCTCATCAGCTTGAGTACTAAATATATTCCGAAGATTCCTCCGAACCCTTTGATGATCTTTGATCGTATTTCGTTTGGTCGAAATTTGTGTCGAATTTCGATCCGCCGCAACACCATAGGGCTAATTTGCCCCTGTACCTCAAGTCTCGATAAACCCATCCTATGCCTTATCGTGGTTGAATGGGAACCTCGGGCCCATATCTGAGTTTCGGGGTTAATCGTACCTTGCAAATGTATCATATACTATGGCCCAAATGGGTTCATATCGAGACTTGTGCGAGAAATTTCTTATAGGGGATCAGTCCACATCGTGATAGACGGGCCAACCACAGAGGTTCAAGGGACTAGCGAGAAAGACCGTGCGTACCGCGCCAACGTGGCGGGTGTTTTGTTCACACGCCTCACTTCGTCAATTGAAATAACATGTCAAGAACGCGGGACACCACACTTGCCATTCTTCTGGAATCGAGGTCTTGGTCCGGAGAGTCTCCTACTGCGCTTGTGCTTCCAGAACCCATTAATCAATCCGTATCATATGCCCAGCTCAAGGCGTTAGTTCTTGAATTCAGGAGCGCTCTCACAGCGCAACTCGGTGTGAAAACTGGAGATGTCGTTGCTATGAGTTTCGTGAATGGCTTGGAATTCGTAGTTGGGTTTTTGGGAACAGGAATGGCAAGGTAAGGAAACGGGAACCCATCTGTGCTGACAGTCGATCGCTCACGTATTCCAGGGCAATTTCCGCCCCGCTGAATCCAGCCTACTCGACACCGGAGGTCGAATTTTATCTCGGAGACACTAAACCGGTCCTTCTCCTCCTCCCTAACCTTGCTTCATTGGGCGCCTCCTCTTCCCAGTTAAGGGGTGCTCGTGCTGCCCTACAGGCCGCCAAGAAGCTCAATGTTCGCACGGCTGAATTCTCAATTGTGCATGGCCGCCCATCCATTCTCATCATCCACCCCGCCGGACCAGTCGTGTCACCATCTGCCATTGAACGTCACGAAGAGCCTCTACCTTCAGATGTAGCGCTTGTGCTACACACGTCCGGCACCACCTCTCGACCCAAATCAGTCCCCCTTACGCACCACAATCTCCTCACGACCGCCAAGAACATAGTGGGCACGTACGCCCTCACAAACGCCGACAGATCATATCTTGTCATGCCTTTGTTCCACGTCCACGGTCTTCTCGCGGGTCTCTTGGCTCCGCTCCGCTCAGGCGCCAGTGTGGTCATTCCCGAGCGCTTCTCCGCCAGCCGCTTCTGGCCCGACTTCTGCACACACGCATGTACATGGTACACCGCGGTGCCGACCATCCACGCCATCCTTCTCGACACCCCTCTGCCCAAAGATGGCCCGCCTCCGATCCGCTTCATCAGGAGCTGTTCGAGCAGCCTCCCGCCTGTACTGATGGAGCGGCTCGAGAAGACTTTCAAGGCGCCGGTGTGTGAAGCATATGCGATGACCGAAGTTCGTCAGCCCCCCCAGAACCGAACATTGGTGACATTTTTTGACTGAATTTCCACAGGCTGCGCATCAGATGACGAGTAACATGATCGATCGGCGCCTCCCAAACAGTGTCGGTGTCGGCGTTGGAGTCCAGGTGGCTATTCGTGATGACCAAGGAAATGGAGTGAAACAGGGCGAGAAGGGTGAGGTGTGCGTGCGGGGCGAGAATGTGACAAGGGGTTATTGGAACAATGAGAAGGCGAACCAGGAAAGCTTCTGGGGTGATGGATGGTTCAGGTGATTGCCGACCTTGCCTCTCATTGCTCGTCTTGCAATCTCACAAAGCGTAAAGGACGGGTGATCAGGGCGTAGTTTTGCCATCGGGTTATTTGCGGATCACCGGCCGTCTCAAAGAGCTTATCAACCGTGGAGGAGAGAAGATATCCCCGCTCGAGGTGGATGCTGCACTCCTCCGTGTAGACGGTGTGGCCGAGGCTGTCTCTTTTGGTGTCGAAGACGAGAAGTATGGCGAAGTGGTCTGGGCAGGTGTGGTTCTCCAGCCTGGTCAGCCCGCAGGCGCAGAGCACCGCATTAAAAAAGCGATGGATGGGCAACTCGCGGGATTTAAGATTCCCTCAAGGTGTGTGTTCTACGCATTTTAAGTCAGAAGGCTGGCTGTAGCGTTTGCAGGATTGTCATCACGGAGAGTATTCCCAAAACTGCAACTGGGAAGGTCCAGAGAAGACATGTCAAGGAAGCCTTTGTCAAACGCGTTCGAGAAGTTGACAGCAGGCTCAAAGCAAAGCTATAATATTACAATATTTACAAAGTTTCTCGTTCATTAGACCAGGTTCTGTTTCCCTCCATCGTAATTGTTTATTGATATTTTCTTGGGATACTCAGCATAGATATGTTATCAAGCTCTCGTTGTTTTTAGACTAGCATGCACTTATGGAACTTTATTTTGCCAGATAGGCACATGGTCACCATTATGTTGCTGGGTTCTGTTTTTGAAAAACGAGCAGGAAGTTCATCTGCCTTGGAGCGATTCACTTGCAGCATCGATGACCGATCGTGACAACTAACAAAAGGCGCCTGGCACATCGTACACCAAATGTTATATATTACCCATTAGAACACAGAACGTCCATTCAATCCCTCGCCTCTCAGGTTCAACTAAACCACTGATAATATGATAGCCGAAAAGTCTTACTTACCCTCAGACTCGCCTCTGCTTCAGCCAAATGGCGCAGGTACGCCACTCGATTTTATTTTCCACAAAACGTTGTATATATAATACTTGAAATCTGAAGAAATCAGCGATACAGAGTCAGATATTGCCACCACATACATCGGAGTTGCGCTGAGTAAAATTCGTCGTCTACATGTTTGAAACGTACCTGATATCATGCTCTCCTCCCCCTCGCAATCTTCAGCGCTCGAAACGTCGACCATAGGAGAAGGAGAGCAACAGGAGCATATACACAAAGTCGATTCGGCGTCAGCATCTCCGCTGACCATCGATAACGGTGTTCGCAAAACAGGCAGAGGTTCCAGACGCAAAAAAAAGGTCTATGTAGTCTCTGCTGGGAGAGACGTGGGGCTCTTTGAACATTGGTGAGTTCAGGCTCCGCGCCCACTCTTCATCTCACAAATGGTGCAGTTGATTGATCTGTATTGAAGGCCAGATGTATTGCGCTTAACGTCGAAAGTCAGTGGAAATTGTTAGGAGGGGTTTGATACGGTAGAGGAGGCAGAGACCTCGTTTGAGAGAGCTTCGCGTAAGGGTCAGGTTCGTAAATTGTCAGAGTAGTTATATCGTGGTAGCACGGGGGCTGCGTGGGATCGGATGTCGGATGTCAGTACCTTTGCAATGGAGCACGATGGCTGACATTGGTGTACAACTTTGGCCAGTGGCCTCATTGCTTGCAAAAATATGACACACTGTTTTTCGATACAACGCACAGCTGTAAACGATGTTGCGAGAGCAGTATTATATTAACACAATACACAGGGTGGTCGACTGCTGGTAGCATGCTCTTAAATAGAAATCTCTTCGTTCAATAGCACATCAGCCGTGCGCAGATCCAGACAGAAGAACAAGCCCTCGAACACGTTATGACGCCCATCCCCAAACACTCAAGCACCCTGAGAAATTCTGGGACATTGGGGGGAATGGACTGAGGAAGCAGACGAGCGGAGTATATGGGATGCCAACAGGTTGATCTCGGGGATAGATTCAGACGGAGGGTGAGCAATGGATCTCCTTATGAAATATCTCCTTGACAACTTGACCCGCCTGCGCGAGGGCGGGCAGCAGCTCTCCTATATTCCAATTCCCATTGAGGCCCCCCCACATAACTGCCCCACTCGAACGATGACTAGACGAAGTGCAGTATGTTGCCTGGCAGTGCAAAGGATACCTTCTGATACACACTTGGCTTTTACTATACCCAGGCGAGCTGATGGGATGCCTCCCACCACTCTAGACGGTATTGGTGAAGGTACGATCCAACTATATATGCAGTTTCGCAAATGGCTGATTACATTGCAGCGGGCTTCCATCATCAATTTGGAACAATGAGCAACTCTAGTGAATCTCCTCGCTGTTCCTGCGGCCTTGTAAAGTGGCATTGATCAAAATTCATTGCATTCTATGTAAGAATGCCAATCGCTCTGAGGGTTGTGGTCACAACAACTATCTGTTCTATGGTCTCACTTTATGCCTAACTTTGATCTTCCGTGAGATGCATATGGAATGGACTGTACACGTTTTCAGACTAGATTTAACAATGCCCAACAAAACGACTCAGGCTATGTTTTTAGAAAGTATTATTACATAAGGGACAAATTGAAGACGATTAGACCACACATATTTGACGCTTTGGTGGTGCTGCCCGGTGCTCAGCTTGGGTTGATATTTACAAGCATTCTGCGCACACGGAGGTCTATAGCGGAAG